TCAAGCTGGATTATCCGGGAAATAGAAGGGTCACAAACCCTGCACGATCGCGGGATCCCGTTAACCTCAAGAAAGGACCGAAAAACGCTCTGAACCCCCGCCACCTCACGCTTGACCCAGTCGTAGCCAGGGATGCCTGGCTCCGGTCCCCGGGGCGGAGGCGAATCCCTCTTCTCGGTGGCGGCTCTCCCGGTAGCCACCGCCTTACCGCGCGCCTTGCCCCTAGCAGGCGCAGAAGAGCTGACACCATTCCCACCAGTCATTAAAGAAAGAGAAGATCTGGGGAAAAGAAAAAAGGGAACTGTAGAAAGGAAGGACCTGGTACTCCTCATCAGAAAATAACCCTAGTAGTGACTGGGTTACCGGAAATGGAGACGGAAAGCGAACGGAAACGAGAAGGCAAGGAACGAGAAGGCAAAGATGACTATCGTACTCAAGAAGCCAAAGAGTGGAAGAAAGCAAAGTGAATGAGGAGAGACGCGGGAGAGAAAGAGAAAAGGGCTTTTTCCCCAAATTTCAAGCCACGTGTCAGCCTAAGGGCACGCTTACAACACATTAATTGCAAGACCATCATTGCATAACCGTCATTTCCCCTAACGCGCCACTTGCACGTTTTCGGAAAATGAACATTTACGACACATGGCATCTCAACAGGCAGACGTACGCGAAAGGTCACTTTCCCCCAACGAGCTCGGTCTTAGCACCTCGACCTACGGTCTTCGGAGCTCGACGGGCTAGTGTACTGTCCGTACTGCGAAGCCGAGCTCCGAGCTCGGCATCACAGCACAAGAAGAGGTCGGGCACGCGCTACGCGACTTCAGCTCGACATTTAAGCAGATCATAACCAATCTTGAGGGATCTCGCTTCGGATGAGATCCACTATCTAATCTTATCATATCTTATCTCAGGCCCAAGGCCCAAAGCAACACTAAATCACACCAAGGTACGTGCATTACTTATACGAGATTCATACTCATACAAACCCTAACTTTAGCATCGAAGTCTCTTTTGCAGGTACCACTCCCATCTTGGAACACAAGTGTACCAGCGAAGGAGGCTCACCGATCTTACCTGGCAGATCAGCTCTACAACAGATTTCCGGTAAGAACAAATAAATAAATGTTTTACTAACCCATTTTCTTCTGGATATATATATATTTTTTAAAATAATGCTGAGTTCATTTTTTTTTTACAGTTTTTGAATTCATATCTTATGAATATAAAAAATGGTAAAAATTGAATAACAAGTTTTTTAGTTAAAAAATTAGACACAAAGAGACATTCATTTCCTCTAACTTCTTTTATGTAGAGATGTCAGTGAAATAAAGTAGATATGAGTAATAATTTTTTGTCGCCCACTCTGACACATAAATATTTGTTAGTCTCCTTATTCATGCTAGTATTTGTGTATTTTTCTTAATATTTATTAATATTCATAAATATTTATGAATATTTATTTTAAAATAAGTATAAAAAATATATCTATACACGTTATCATAGAGCACTTTTTATACTTTTTTATTTTATAAATAAGCATATTGAAGATAAAGTAAAGATAAATAAAAAGTAAAACATTCGCATTACATATAAAGTTTCGCATGGTAAAATACAAGATTAAATATAGCTACGAGCCTACAAGTGATAAAATCGGTAACCAGATTTTGTATTTTAACATATAATGATATGTAATACTTACATCTTTTAAATAAAGGAGTGTAATTTATTTTAATAATATTAAATTAAATAGATTACATTATATATTTAATCTCGTGATATAAAAAAAACATATAATTTACTCTGAACTTTAAAGTAACATTTTTTTAATGAAAAATAATGGGCATGCTGCATGAAGCGGATAGTTGTTCGGTTTATTTGTTTGACAAACCCACAGGAAGTTCTATACCAAATGCTAATGTGATATGGTATCATATATAATATATATTTTTGTACCAGTAGGCACCTCCTCGGCCGGATCATATGCCGAAACAAGCACCAAAACCGAAGACACCACTCCTTTGGCCTTCGTCTTGGCCGAACCACCTCTTCGGCCTCAGGCCGAACCGAAGCCATTCCACGCTTTGAGGGCAACCACATGCATCTCCCACGAAAAACAAGCAAACGTCTCAAGCAAGGCATTCAAGTAGCTCAAGACACCCTTTCGACCCCAAGTCAGGCTGAATACCCCTTTGGCGTCAAGCTAGGCCGAATACTCCCTCGATTTCTATTTGGCCCGAACACCCTCTCAATCTTGATAGTGATAAAAATGAATCTTGGAGAAGAATAAAACAAGTACCCAAGGGAAATGCGCAAGAGATTCCTCGGCATGAAGCTTGGCCGAATACCTCCTCGGCACCAAGCTTGGCCGAAACCACACCAAAGACTCCTCGACATGAAGCTTGGCCGAGTACCTCTTCGGCCATAAGCTGGGCCGAACCCCTCTTCGGCATTGTGTTTGGCCGAAGACCCAAAAGAGGGATAGCACGATGAACACGTGGCAAATTAGATATTTGTTATACAATAATTATCACGACTAATTAAAAGAGATTAAGGTTAATCTAAGGATTACCCATCTTCTAAGACAGAAGGCCCACCAGGCCCAGACATGTCACTATAAATACACAGGTGATGGGACATAAATGAGGTATGCTTTTATCCAATATATAAGTCTTTATTGCTCTATACCGAATACTTACTTGATCGTTAGAGTGCCTTTGCAGGTACCCTCCCACCATTTGGGGATACTATTCAGTCGACACCGAGAACTTAGAAGACCGTTTGGAAGAACTAACAGGAAAAGTGTTTCTAGACAAAAACAATTTTCATTAAAAAGTTTGAATTAACCTTTTTAGTGCCTATGATATGAATCAACTAGCACCATAAAATAAGATTAAGAATTGAGGACCTCAAAGAAAAAGATTAACACTTGCGCGGTGTATGTGTATGTCCAGTCAATATTCATTCAAAAGTTGTCAAACATAAAGGAAAAGGTTTGGTTGCCAAAGCATGTCGGCTCTCATAACAAAAGTGAACTGAGTACGTGTTATTCTAGTTCCACAGTATTTTAACAATTTTAATTTGGTCTAAAAAATTAATTTGACACTTAATTAACATATATCTACTGTCAATTTTTTATACCACTTGAAGTAAGCTTGCTCGAGATGAATATTTAATGAATTACTTATTAGAATTTTAACACCAGATTAAAATTCCATATTTGATGCTAATTATTTAAAATAATTATTAATTAACTAAATATTTAAAATATTACACAAATAATATATTAAACTTAAATTCTTTAATTTAATTTAATCTCCTATGCGTTCTTATCTTTTCCTTTCAATTATGTTGTCCTCTTTTAACTTTCAAAAGGAAAAGTATAAACTATAATTTATTCACTTGGACAGTGCCATTACTGAATCTTAATTAATTACTATAATGCAGGTGGACCTTGTTTGTGTTCATTAGTTTCTAGGCAGTTGAGTTTGATTTGAACATAAACAATCACCTCGAGTAATTCATGCTTATCCGCCTCTTGCAACTTTATCTTTTGAAGATTAAATTTCAAACTTTTCTTTTGCTTCCACAAATTTTGTTGGTTATTCTTTACGCATACAACGAAAATAGTGGTAAATAAAATATAAAAAAAAAAAAATCTTTTGGTAACTAACTAACCCCATAATCATCGAGGCACTTAAATCAAAATATGAGGAGTTTTGATGATTATCCAACTTTCACCTATAATGGGTGACCACTAATCGCTAGACATGATGACAAATATTAAGGTGGACCCGGGAAATCAGGCTGATAATTATACTAAAATAGTTCTGTATGATTCATAAATAATTATATCATTTTAAATAATTGGAAATTTAATTCGTACGTAAGCCATGTATACGAAAGTGGGTGATGATTATTGAAGCACAAATAAATTGAACACAATTCTTAATTTGTATTTATATTTAAATATATTTTTATTTCTGTAATTTTAAGAAATTTTATTTTAATTTTTAAGTCATCAATGACAAATTAATAGTATTAATTGGATTTAATGTGATATTTTTAGTATGTACATTTTAAGCAATAATATTTAATAAATTTTTTAATAAAATTTAATTATAAGTATTAAAACAAGATTTTTTATATTATAGAAACGGAAAAGATCCGTTTAAAATTTAAGAAATTAAAAATAAATGTACTTTAAATTTGAGATACTAAAAATATATTTAAATTTATTTTCTTATTATATTTATATATTTTTTTATCATACATGTCATCATTCAACATCTACCATTTTGGTGTTTATTTTATTGCATGAAAAATATGTATAAAAAATATTATCTTCTTAAATAAATTTGACTATTTTAAAAAATTATTTAATTTTTAGTCAAAAAATATTTCTCATTAAAAAATGTGATGTACATACGATAATTTATAAAACATTTGTTATATTCATCTTTATCTCATCATTTATTATATCATCTCACATTTTTTTCCTCTTAGTGATAAAATTTAATGTATACTTTGTTATACAAAATAACATTTCTAAAAGAAGTAACTACCTTTTTGTCCATATAATTTGATAAATTTTACTTTTAATTTTTGTAGTTAATAATTTTTCATTTTAACTCTTATACATACAATTTATTTTATTCTCTATAATCATATACACTTTTCTTGTAGTCCCTACGACATAAATTAAGAGAATAAAAGTAATATTATATTGAGATTAAAATTTTGATGTAGTGACATACTCGCACTAAAAGAATAAAAGAATAGGTGAGAGTATATTAGCATTTCTATATATATATATATAAAAGGTATCATTGTCGCTTATGTGAAGATTTTGTGTGAAAACAGTTGTGGGACCTGAACTTGAAGCATATCTGGTCTACGAGTAAAGAAAGTCCAAGTTTGTCTTCTGCAAAGTCCGAGCGAAAAGCAAAATGGAAAACAAGGAAGAAACTGTGTTTTGTGTGTGGGTTGTAAATTGTAATCATAAGTTTCTGACCGAAAAAGAACTTGTTAATGCAGCAATAACATATATATATTACAAAAGCTGAGTGGATGCTGATTTTATATATACATGCATATGGTGCATGCATAGCGAATAGCGAAAGAGGGAGTTGGGACATATTTAATTATTTATGTTGTTGAAAGTGGTTACCATATATAAAGTGATTGAAGCAGCCCTAGGTAGCTTAAGGAGTTTGAGGAGTAGGGTGGGTTGAGGCGAAGCGATTAACGAAAGCGAGAGCGTTGCTGGTGAGTTGAGCAACACGGAGAACCCTATCCTTGATGCCACCCTTGACGCTGGCAGAAGCGCCGAAGCCATCCAGACACGTGTTGTCATCGGTGAGGGCGGCGCTCACCCAAGTCTGAACGTTGCTCATGTGCCACACGAAGTCCTCTCCGGCGGGCCCACCGCTGCGGCCCAACTCCCTAACCGATTGCCTCAGACGCTCCACGCTGTCGCCCATGTTCTCCACGCAGTCTTGCACCGCCCTCCACTCCCTACCCTTCCTCACGCCTCTCGCTTTCGACATGTTCTTGACGAAGGACGCGGAGGATCGGGTGCGGGATATGGTCACCGACAAAGCGGCCATGGCCAGTTGCCGGTCACTTCGGCGGATGACGGTTGCGTAGGCCAACAGAGAGTGGACGCATAAAAGAGGGTAGCGAGTGGCCCTGCATGAGGTCTTGACGAACTCTTGGGGGTTTGGTTCGGCAGTGGAAGATTGTGCGGTGCAGATGATGAGAAGCAGGAAAGCAAGGTTGAGTGCAGTGGTTGCCATGTTTCTCATAAGGATGCACATTTTTTCCGATGGCCTAACTTGTAGCTCCTCGCATTCGCATTCGCATATATAGCTCCTAAATATTACTTTCTTTTTTATTTCTCACTAAAATATGCGGTGGAATGCAACACATTACACAGTCACTAGATAGCTACATTTCTAAAATATGTTTACTAGAGAACGACCAAATTTATTTTGCTCATGCTCGCGTAATCATAAGACTATTCATCTGTAACTTTAGGGTTACCAATCAAAATAAATTACTGTTACTCTTTATAAATAAAAATATCATGTAATATGTTATTTTATATCAACAAAAAAAACATAATATAAATTATTTTTATTCAAAAAAATTGGAAAATGAAAAGTTTATTTTTAACTTCACTTGTGCTTGAGTAGCCCTAATAGAAAAAGTAAAATAAAAAATAAAACAAAACTGTAAAAAAAAATCTAAATTTTACGAAAAATATTATGCAAGCTCTCAACCTTATTTCCGTTAATTATCTAACTTTTTTATATTTAATTTATATTGAAATAATATTATTTTTATTCTCTATAAAATAAAGATACTTTGATTTTAGTCACTTTTTTATTCTTTTAAAATTAAAAAAAAAAAGTATAATTTTTACTATTATGTGATACTTATTAACATATTTATTAAAGATTTAAGTCACCAATCCAAGTACTATATTCACAATTATCTATGATATTACCGTATAAATCTATGTAAAGATTCTTAAAAAAAATTGTTATCTATTTACTTTAAAATCAACATAGAAACTTTAAATTTTAGGGAGATGAAAATTAAATAAAATATTTTATAAAATCAAAATTAAAATTTATTTATTTTATCAAAAAAAATTTCCAAAATTTCGAAAGATAAAAAAATCAAAAATAAAAAATTCTTATTTTAATATAACTAAAATGTATTTAAAATTTTAATTTATTATTAATCCAATAAAATATATCTGATTATAATTATTTCATATAATTATTTATTTGAACGACTAAGGAAATATCTCTATCGAAAGACAAGATGGGCTGTCAGTAAATACAGGTCTTATCAAATTTACAATTTTAATATGTTTCTGCATGTGATAAAAATTAGTATTCTAACCATTAGTCCAAAAGTTATTACTAAATAGTTTACAAAATTGTAAATAATTTAAAAATTAATATTCCATCATTTTATTATGTATAATATCCTTTTTAGAATATAAATATTTATGTTATCTAAACTTTAGATTACAAAAAGTATCAAGACAATATTACTTTTTTAGTTTCAAATAATAAAATATTAAAATTATAATTTTAACAATAATATTAATTTAATGTTTAACGGCTCTCACTCATGGAGTTATTTTTAATAGTAAGATGTATTATTAAAATAAAAGTCATAATATATGAAAAATATTCAATATAAGAATTAAAATAACCTCACGAGTGCCGGACTTTTCTTTTTGTCCCCTTTCCTTATAAATCACCAATAATATCACCTGTGTACTTGATGTTTTATATCAGCATTTTCATTTCGTTTTACTAATATTGACCAACAGTTTATTAGGAAGTTGTCAAAAAAAAGAAAAAGAAAAATAGTTGTCACATTTCAATGACTGTTATATATAAATGTGTGCTTTCGGAAATCAAAGCGGCACATGTTGACTTAATTAACGACTAAATTGTATATTAATGATAAAAGTTCACTTTGTAACTGATTTTAAGTTGCCAATGTAAACCCATTTTATCGCCACCACCAATACTTGGTTCATCCATCCTTCAAGCTCGTGCAGAATCGAACTACACAATTCTTAACAGGAAGTGTATATTGTGATTTTATAAGCAATTTTCATCAAAATTTCAACAAAAGATGCACAAGTCGTATTTCAAAATTTATAATTTGTTAGTTCTGATATTACAGTGGAGAAATCTGTTACCACAAATCAGAACACCCCAGTTCTTTATAATTGTTTATTTGATACAATTATCAACAACACAGTTTTCACAAATAATACTAGTAAAGTGGGAAAATAAAAAAAAGTACCATATGTGCACTAAACTGTAATGTACTTGAGAACAGCCCCGCGGAGCTTCTCCATGTATTCTGCAGCCTGTTTCTGCAACGCGGAATATAACATGCAAAACTTGTCATGAGGCAGAATACAAGCACTAATCTCAACACCGCTTACGCATCACACGTTCGTCGGTATCAGTGTATGGATATTCAACAATAAATCATGTTCCCACAATCCTAAGTCAATCATGTTTGTCTAGTTCTGTGGCACGAAAATATTCTTAATTCTCATTTGAATAAATTTCTCAATAAATACATATAGGAGAAAAAAATAAGAACATAAGCAAATTAAGTTTTTTCTATAAATTAAAACTAACTTATGTATTAACTAATTTTTATAAGTCCTCTTATTTAACTTCTCTAAAAGCTAATTTTAATTGATGAGAGAAATTTAATTCATTTATCTTCTTGTTTTCTTCTTCTAAGTGTTTATTGAAAAGTTTTCTCCAAACAGGACCTAAGAAGTGCCTTGACTTATTGGTTACAAGTGAGTGATAATGGGATTTGCCTCAATAATGAGAATTCCATTCACAGGTTCTACTAACACATGGAAAAACATTCCCAACTGGTGGAGTATTATTTAGCTACCTGGTTGCCCCTCTGTGCACTTGCAATGTTTTCATCAAGAAGCGCCAACAAAGATCTATTAATTTCATTCCTTTCAACCATTTCCAGCAACTGCATTGAAGACAAATAAGAGCGAGCATAATTTAAATAAAACCAACAAATTTAGGAGTGGTAAACATGGCATACAGTTGCTTTTACATCCTTTGATGTCAAGATTTTGGTAAGGTTTTCCCTGGCTTTTATGAGTTCATCTTGCATCTTATCATAAGCTTCTGTATTACAAGATAGGATCATTGGGTGAGCTTATATATATATATATTGGTAAATTCATACACTTTTTTTTCATTCCTTGGAATTGAATTGTTACAAACCTACTCCTTCTTGTATGGCTTTCTCTAGAGCCTCCAGCTCAATGAGTCTGTCCTCCATGAGCTGCAGAAATTAATAAATAATAACAATCAGTGTAAATTGTAAATGAGCAGATGCAGAAACCTATTCCTAATATTATCACCAGAAACCTGTGTTCTGTTAACAGCGAAGCGAAGCTGTCCTAACTCTAATTTGAGTTGCGAAAAGAATTCCTGATTCAAACTGCAGAGTGAGTTGAAATTGAATGAGACAAGTGAGGAGAGTTAAATCAAAAGGAAGCAATTAAAGGTTAAAAAGTGCGAACCGCGGTCTCATTCTTGCAATCTCAAACTCAATCTCCTGAGCCTCGGTGTCAAGCAAGTACTCAATGAGGTCTTGCGGAGTATCGGGAAGAACACGAGACTACCAAAACAAAAGGATGAATAGAGGAATAAAAAGAAATTGAAAAAGGATTCGTGGATTAGAAAGAGTACTTGTCGAAGGGATTGACGGCGTTCTTTCTCTTCACGGGCTTGACGTTGGAAGGCTTCGCGGGCCTCTGTATCTCTCTCGAGGCGCCTCTTTAACTCGAGCCTGGCGAGGTGGCCGGTTTTGGGTGGCCCAAGAACGCCTTCGGGGTCCTTTCTTCGCACAACAATTTTTCAAACACAGGTTGCAAGACTAGACAATAATATCGTAAGACAAGTAGTTGAGTTTAGTTAGTAGTTTACCCATCCAATACACAAAATTCTGTTGGGTCTGCGCCATTTCCAGTTGCTTCTTGTACCACAATCAGCGGCGGAACTCACACTTATTGTAGCAATGCCAAAGCTAAGAGTGGCCATTTAGATAATCGGATTCACCCTGCTCCGCCACTCGAAATACTCTCAAGTCTCAACCTTGCAACTTCTTTCCCAGCATTATCCTTTCTAACTCGAAAAGGGTAACTCTGTAATTCACCCTCCCTGCCCTTGCATTGCTTTTGCTTCACTTTTTTTTCTTAAAAATGTTTTTCCATTGGGCTTTCCACAATGGGCTGGGCCATTCAATCTTCATGCTACTCGCTGTTCCTTCTTCCTTGTCACACCGGTGTCAAAGTTATTTATAGAGTTAATCATCCTACGTAAAGTTTTTTACACCGACAACCAATCATATTTTTTAAAATTATTTATTTTATTATTATTTCATTAAATAAGCAACTGAAATGTCACTATTAAAATATATGATTGGTTACCAGTGTAAAAAAATTTTATACTGGGAGTGTATAGATGATTAATTCTTATTTATATAGTTTAAGAGTTAATCACCTGTATACTACCAGTGTAAAAAAATTTTACACTAGCAACCAATTATATCTTTTAGTTGTGTCATGTTACTATAAACATATTTACTTTCAACAATGACACAACACAATTAAAAGATATAATTAATTGTGAATATAAAACAAGTTTACCCTAAGAGTCTATAGGTGATGAAATGATAGTTTAATCACTCAATCAAATCATGCTCATTTCCTGTTTTCGTTAGTCCTAATCCTAAAGTTACCGTTTCCCCAATAAGTGCCACCCTTGTAACATTCTACATATAGGGATGAAAAATTACCTATATCAACGTATATTTGCAAATAAAATTCATTAAAGATAATAAATAAATAGTTTAAATAAATATTCACAATGAATATAAATATTTTTTTACTTAATTATAAATGAGATGGAAACGGATATGATAATAATATTATTTAAATAATTATATTTTTATTTTATATTTTTTATATTTCAAAAAATTATCATTAATTATAAATTTAAAAATTAATATCAATTATTTATTTTTAATATTTTAATATATTTAATGTCAAATATAAACTTAATATTATTTATAATTTTTTTTAAATTTTTTTTTTAAATATTCATATATATTTGTAAATATTTATAAAATTTATTGATACTTAATATTTGCATGAATATAAGATGAGTACGAAACGAAGTTTTAACTGACAGAATGAGTAAGGATAACCGTCCCATGGACCCATTCTCATCCTTAATCCTACGATTAATTCCTTTCCGTCTCGATCTTTTAATTATTCTGGCTCTTCCTTGTTAGTTTTAGCTTCTTATTTTTATTTTTTTTATATTACTCATTGATTTGATTTCTACTTGGACGAGAGAAAACAGGAGCTTGCTACGCACCTCAAAACAAGTCCCTTAAGATTTCATTTGAACAAAATCAACCAATCTATTTTTCAACATCGCCATCCTTGTTTTGACACCTTTAAGAGGATCCAACGTCAACCGCCATTTTTATATGCTAACTCTCGTTAGGTAATAAGTGGGATGGATGATGGGTTGCTAGGAATCAAAGAGAGAATCATTTTTTGTTTTATTTTTTGGTCCACAGAGAATCATCCAGTTTGAAGCTTGATAATTATTATAGCTACATGCAACCTAATTCTTAATATTAACTATTAAGTTGGAAACATATCGAATCTTATTATACGATCAGGATTAGAGGACGTGGCCTCTCGCCTCCCTTATTTTTTCTATAATTTGTTTCTCTCTCAGTTTCAAATGTTTCACGCGTGAAAAACTAAAAAAAATATATATGGAAAGGCAATTATACACACACATACTCTCTCTCTTTGTAACTGGAACAAATAAAAAAGGTTATCAAACTTGTTTATGTACATAATTCAATCAACTTGTATCATATTTTTAAGTCACACGTTAATAATGACAATTTTTCTAATATGCAAACAAAAAATTGAGACAGATAATTAAATTGAAGAGGCAAGCTGTAAACGAAAGATGAATTTAAGAAGAAAAAAAAGTGGTAGATTTTGTATTATGCGAGGACGTGGGGTTCTCGTCTTTCGATGAGTGGGTAGGAAAAGTGAAGTCAACGAGGCAATTTAGCTATAAATGAAAGTGGAAGAGAATGAGAAGGAGCAAAGATAGGAAGAAAATGTTAAGAATGGGTTGGGTGCTGGTGATGGGCATGACGATAATTAGCTTGGCAAAGGGGCAAACTGTGCCACTCTGCGCTCGGCAGCTATCTCCATGCATTGATTTCATGAACTCCACTAAGCCACCCGACACATGCTGCAATCCAGCGAAAGACGTATACGCGAGCCACAAAACATGTTTCTGCCAACTTGCATTAACTCCTGGTATACTTGAAGGTTTAGGTACCACTACCGATCAGGCTGTCCAACTTCTCCACTTATGCGGTCTCAACTTCACAGTCACCTCCTGCAAAGGTTCATTAATTTCCTCATTCCATTCCAACCCATCAATTCTTTCTCACTGCATTCTAGTTTCCTGTTACCTTCTACAGTTTTCTTTCTTTAAACCAGAAGGCAAATAAATTCATACTTCTCTTCATCCAAACATCACATTCAAATAATGAAATATGTCTCTCAAAATCCTATATATTCGCACTGTCTCATGTTTTTCTTTTTTAATCTCAATGTTTGTAATTTCTACGAAATGTTTTTCTTCTTCTTTGCTTCATAGCATATTTGAAAATATTATTTATCGTAATTTCAACTGTTTTAGAGAAAAAAAAATGTCTGTATGCTGAAATTTGTGTTTGAAACTATAGTTGAAACTGTATGTTTGAATTTTGAAACATTAGCTGAAATTTGTAAATATTTATTTTTTAAAAATACTTTCACGTAATTTCATCTTAAAATTGATTTATTATGTAAAACTTTTTTATATCTAAACAAAAATAAATATCTCAAAATCAATTTTCAAAAAAAAAAATTAACAAACGATTTTCAAAAAACTTATTCAAATAAAAATATATTTTATAATTAATTAATAAAATGATTTTATTTTTAGAGCTTTTCTAGACACGCTTTAAATGCTATCCAGCCCTTGTTGTAATCACATTTTCAGTAAACAAAATTTTGATGTTAATATGTATTATCAATAAAATGATCAGCTATCAATTATGAATGAATAGATAATCGATTTCGATCCTGGAATTTTATTTTAGTTCTTTTTTTATTTTAATTTCAGCCTCTTCTTCGGCTCCGCCTCCATCGTGGGTGCAGCCCCCAGGTAAGAACACTCTCTATTTATTTATTTTTCACTTAATTGAATTTTTCACATTTTTTTTTTAGTATTGAATGATTTTTTGTTAATTTTCATTTATTTATATTCTATGATTTTTTATTTAGTCTCTTTGAAACGATAGGGTAAACAGAGATTTTAATATATTTAAGAGAGTTAAATGAGAAACTTGTCATTAATATTACTGATATTAAATGAAAAACAAAAACCACACTTCACGAAAAGAAGACTAAGAAAAAATATTTTAGGATGTATTTGTTCGGAAAAACTCAAAAAAATGAAAAACCAAATAAAATAATAAGAAAAAAAATTAAGAACTAAAAACTTACAATGAATTTAATCAGGAATATGAGAAGACGGGAGGGATTTTAATTAAGAGGAGAACCGCAGAGGAAAAAAAATATCCTTTTCTATTTAATTTAAGAAATAGGTTGAGACTTGAGAGAAAAAAAAAACCTTGTTTTGTAAGGAAAGAAGAGGAAAAATAGCCCTAATATATTACTATATCTTTAAAATAGGATGAGATATAAAATAATTGACCTCTTGAGACAATTCAATAAACAGACTTCAAAAATTATAAATTACTAGCACTAAAAAATAAATTATAAAATACTTTATAAATTTTAAAAAAAGAATTAAAATTATTTGATATTTTGTTTTATTAATTCAAGTTAACTGAATTATCATATGATATGATTTAAATTAATGAAACTAAATAATTTTTAAATTTTTTTAAAATTTGTAAACTTATTACATTAATAACTTTTAATTCAATAATTAGGTTGATAAGTGTAGCAACCTCGGTCGCGACGGGACGACGAAAAATAAATTGAAAAAGAGGGAGTCGCCACCAATGTTATTTTTTACGGAAAAACATTGGAAAAACCATAAAATAGAAAATAGTCTACGAAAACCAGAATTTTTAGTTCGGGAGTCGATTACGTATGAGGAAGGTATTAGCACCTCACAACGTTCGTCCTAAGACAATTACCTTTAATTAATTAAACTAATTATTTATAATTTATAAAATATTTATCTCACTAAAATTATCAAATATATTTTATTTAACTAATTTAAATTATGCATTGAAAAAAAAGTTAAAATTATTATTGTTATATAAAAAGGAGGATAATATATTTTTTTATTTTTTGGCTCGACAAGATTTAGTTCTTGTTCCTACGTATCTTCATGTGTAATGAAGAATCAGAGTCACGTAGTTCTATGGTAGAAAATATTTGTGTGTTCATATTTTTAATTAAATTTTATTTTTGTTAAATATAGGATTCTTGAACTGTCTCAGCTCATTCACCTAAAAATATAAAATTGACTAAGGTGTACACCAAAGTCAATTCAATAAAATTTTAATTATAATTATTGCTAGAGATGTTATGATGTAAAAAAAATTTCTTGGTTGAACATTTTTGTTTTTGGAGGAAAAACTTAAAGATAAGCTGTCACAACTTGTACTTTAAATTCAAAGGTTAAAAAGATGTCACATTTAATTAACCATTCCTCCAATAAAATTTTTGATACAATAATTTCAGATATTTACATTAAATATTGTAACACTATATTTTGATATTTAATCACATTTTGAATATAAATAAGAACTAATAGCAGATATTACTAATATATAAAAAAATGAATTTAATATATTCACAATTCTTCGCTACAGAAGTGGGTCTCCTTCTCTGGGTTCCCTCTGGTCCAAGGTGGAGATGTGTGTGGGAAGGGTGTGTGTGTGAAGGGAGCAACCTTATACTATCCAATCTACAAAACATAGCACATATGATAAAAAAATAAAATCCTTATATCCTAAAGTTCAAATTACACAACACATGTTTATATAATTCATGCATATAAGACAAACAACAAATAAGGAACATAAAAAAAAAAGTGAGATAAACATTTTAAAAAATTATTAATTAGTTTAACTAATTATTATAGGCTTGACTCTCAAAATTATCCCCAGTGGAGTCGCCATCTGTAGCAACCTCGATGGCGACTCCCTCTTTTTCAATTTATTTTTCGCCATCCCGTCGCGACCGAGGTTGCTACAATATACCAAAATATTTTTTATTTTTTAATTATAATTTTCTTTTATTTTTCTTTTTTTATCTATTAATAGATTAAATTTGATTAATGCAATTCTTCTAAAATAGTAGTCTATTTCAATTTTGATACGTGATTATTTGATTTATTTAAGATGAAAAAATTATTTTATTAGATTTACATACATAAATTATAAGATTCAAGTAATGTTCAAATTAAAAAAAGGTCACAAATATAATAAATTTACATGAAAGTAATTTCCGTAAACAACCAGAAAACTGACAGGTTTTAGTATCAATTTATTAAATTATTTGTGAGACTCACTTTTCACATGACATGTTTATTTTATTTTATTTTTGTTTGAACACTAATCCTTATGTTGAATTAATGTACCAAAATTATAAGCGTTTAAAAGTTAAATTATTAAAAAAAATGTTTCAGCAATAAAAGACAGATTTTTCACATGCTAAAAAGTATATTGTAACCTACCTTAGCAGGATGTCAGATCAACTGATCACCATTTTTTTTTTAAGAGTTATAGTAATATAGATAAAGTCTTATGTTATAACTCACTGATAATAAAAATAAAAATAAAAAAGATCAATCACCAATTTTCTCCATTGTAATATTTTTATCATTTTGCAGCAATGCCAGGAGCTGATGAAGGAGGGGCAGGCAAAGCTACATTTAACGGACTCTCCTTCGCATTGTTCTTATGTGCTTGCGTGCTGTTTAATTTGGAAGGTGGACCTTACCTTTAGAAAACCCCACTATATTGGAGTTGATAATATTTCTCCATTAGTGAGTGTTTGGGTCTATAAAAGAAATATGACTAGAGCATTCAAGAATAAAAAAATTGTCCTTATTTTACGGATTTTAATGTTTTAATGATTATTTTTTTAGTTTTCACTTTTTAGTATTATATTTTTTGGATATAAATTTTTTTTATATATTTTTTATTTGTGTGTAAGTGTGTAACTATTATAAGTACGAAATATTTTGGCCTCGTGTTTTTGAAAAATATTTTATTCATCTTTCCTCGTAGACAATCTTTTTTTACTATCCAGCAAAAATTACTTTTCCATATATCTTTTTTTATTGAGAATAACTGATTAAGTTTAATAATTTCAAAATTTTACGCGGACCCTGCCAATTATGGGATATTAGTGTGAATGAATGTGTTTCTATTAAAGTCGGTAATTAAAAATTCAAATAAAAAAATTGTATATAAATAAAGTGATATTCTTAATAGTTCAAGATTATTCTCTTCTTTATGTGCAATCAAATAAAGTGTAATGACTCTTTATTATTTATTTATATAATACTATGAAATATTATAAAACTCAACATTAAAAAAATTGTAATGACTTTTTATTTGATGTTATTATCGATATTATTGAAAATATAATAATCTTATAGTATTATATAAATAAATAATAAATAATCACTACATTTTATCGATTTGTATATAGAAGAGAGAGTAATCATAAATTATTAATGGTGTCACTTTATTTATATATAGTTAAATATAAGATGTTGATCAAGAGGTTAATAATGTTATTTATGCTTCAAAGATAAATAGGTAATTTCTTTTACAATTACAATTTCCTCTGTTTTATAATTTTTTTTATCTATGCTTCAAAGATCGATATGATTATTAAATTAGTTACAATTTACTAGTAAGATTTTGATTTGAAAAAAGTTAAATTTATGCTTTGATTATTAAAAATTATTTTTGCATATTCAAGTTAAGAAACATTCATTCCCCTTTTAATGACATTCCATCATTTTTTTTTTAAATGAATATACAATCATATAATGTTCTATCATATACAATATTGAAACTATTGAAATTTATTTATTAATTTTTTAATATAACAAACTCGACTTAATGAGAAGTTATTTTCAATTTTTTTTTCTCGTATTTTAATACCTAAAATGATACATTTTTTCTCTCAAGTCTTTTATCTCAAACTATAACTTGAAAACTTTTTAGTTTTAATAATCATTTTCAATTTAACGTCAAATAACAACATATCATCGTATGATATCACAATTAGAATAAAAATATTTTTACATACATATAAGAACAAAAAGTGTTTATTGAACTTCTCATATTATTGATTATGTGTTTGTTTTAAACCATCTAATCTAAACTTACAAACCTTGTGTTATTGTTTTGATATAATTTAATCTTTTGGTTCTTGATGTAATTTTTTTATTGATCCATGATGTTTGTGTTTTCTTTTAACAAATCATTTCATCTCATAATCATTTTATAATCTGTTTTATACTTATTAACAAAACAACTTTTAAAGTACCAACAATTTTATACTTTCATTTTGTACATTATTTATACATATTAGTTACGTATGTTTGAGCATATGAAAATGTATATATTTTCAACATTTTTATTATGATTAAATCTAAAAAATATATTTTTCTCATAAAAATAATAAACAAATAATAATAATAATTGATTTTTTCATTGGATCATATACAAAATTTGATCACATAACAAATACCAAATAAATTTGATCATACGTTGTATAATTAGAAACAATCACTAAAACAATATTATTAATATATGTAACTAATTAAAACATAAATGTTACAAAATAACAAATCATTTTTTTTCTAAATAGCCTTTTAATTGCATATTAGATATTATTATCTATTTTTATTTTTTTACAATATTTAATTTCTCATTTTTTTAATATTTTGTAAATTGTTTGACACGGAGATCAAATAACAATTTTGATATACAATTAAAGAGAATGTGACATGCCTATATTTTTTACAGTTTTTAATTAATTTGATTTTACTATCTCATTATTTTCTCAAACAAATTGTTAGTTCATCTTTAAAATATTGTCAACCTCAAGTTGTTCAAAGAATATTACAATCCTTGTGTTTATTGTTAGTTTCATCAAGGAATATGAATTTTGATGCATTAACCAAATTAATTTCATAAACAACAAATTCATTGTAACAATAAAATAAAATAAAAAATTATTTTTAAATTGTTAGAAAATAGCAATAAATAAAAAGGAATGAAAAGAGAATACTGTCTCGTGACAAAAACCTTTGTCTTGAAAACAAATAACTAATAACTTAATTGTATCCTATCCTTTCTAATTGACTATAACTAATTACACAAATTGACGAAGGTATATGGGTCTCTTGATGTTTCTCTTAGGCCTAATAACCTTGTATGATTTCTAAAAATAATTAAGTTTTATTTTATTAATTATAAATATATATAT